TGTTCATTGTCAAGAGCTTTTGAGCCACTTTCCACTGCTGGCAAAAAAAAGGACTCAAATTTGGCTCAGAACGGTGGCACTTCTCCATAATCTTTCACAATTGAGTGTAACAAAAGCAGCGCTCCGAAGGCCCCGGCTCTGATTGTGCTCTCCTCTGTTTCCCTGTCCAGTTCCACCAGAATGCCGCACATTCGGCATTTCTGCTCTTCTAGGACTGCTCTGTCTTCTCTTTTCTCACTGTATGAGGACACTCTTGGGTGCTGGAAACTCTCTGGTGCTGAAGTCCGCTGTGCGCAATGTTCACATAGCCGCTGTTTCACTGGCATGGCACGTCGGCTCCATTCAGCTCCTGCACATCATGCTTAAGTGAGCCTCCTGTAGGTGATATACAGCTGCCTCACATTTTTAAACCCACTCTGCCAACCTCTGCTTTTTAAAATCATTTTTAATTTTATTGGTACAATTTAGGGTTACGTAATGATCCCATTCATCATAGGGAATTTGTACCTTTACGTGATGTATCTGGATTCCTCTTTTCCCCATTCCCCGCCCCTCAATCTCTCTTCCTCTTCCTTATTTACAAAAGCCCTGTTTCCATGTTTTCCTTATTTTCTAGATTTTTTCTTTTTTCTTCCTCCCTCCCTCCCGTCCCCCTCTTTAATTCCCCTTCCTATGGAATGATTTTTGCTTATTTCACATTGTCTATTATGCATTTTGGTCCCTATTTACATTTTCAGTTTCTTACATCAGACAGACAATGCAGTATTTACACATGTACATCTGGTCTATTTCATTTAAGTGTACATGGAATGCAATGAAAGCAGTCCTAAGAGGGAAATTTATAGCAGTGAATTCTCACATCAGAAAACAGAATGAGCTCAAATAAATAACCTAATGTTGAACCTCAAGCGTCTAGAAAAAGAAGAAAAAGTCAAGCCTAAAGCTCATATGAGGAGGACATTATAAGGATCAGAGGAGAAATTAATGCAATTGAGACTAAGGAAACAATACAAAGAATCAATGAATCAGAGAGTTGGTTCTTTGAGAGATTAAATAAAATAGATAAACCCTTAGCCAACCTTATAAAAAAAAAGGAAGGGAAAGACCCAAATTCACACAATAAGGAATGAAAAGGATAAAATCACAGGATCCTGTGGAAATCCAGATCATCAATACCTGCTTTGAAAACTTATACTCTAATGAAGGTGGAAAACAGAAGAAATGGACAGACTCCTAGATACATATGAATTACCAAAGCTCAAACAAGAAGATACTAAAATTCTAAATAACCCAATATCAGCCGTTGAACTTGAAATTTAATTAAAAACCTACCAACAAAGAAAAGTCAAAGTTCTGATGGTTTACTGCTGAATTCTACAAAAAATTTAGAGAAGATTTATTGCCAGTTCTCCTCAAACTCTTTAATGAAATAGGAAGAGAAGCAATACTCCCAAATCATTCCTGGAAGCAAGCATCACCCTGATACTAAATCCTCTGCTTTTAACTGATACACTAAGACCCCTCACAGTAGTGCAATTCTTGGTATGTGAGGGACCACACCAGCTGTTTCATTTATTCTGCTTTGGGTTTCTCTGATTTTTTCTTCCTGTTTTCCTGTGGGATACTTGAGCATTTTTTTAGAATTCAATTTTTATTTATCTGTGGTATTTTTAAGTGTCTCTCTTCATGTAGCTGTTTATTGGTTGGTAGAGGCACTGCATTATATACATAACTTACCACATTCTTTGGTGCTACCATTTTATTTAAGTCAAGGATATAAAACTTACCTCATTTTCCCTCCTGTTTATAATAATACAGATGTTTCTTTTTGAATGACCTACCTGCTTAACTGCTATTTGGATTTATGACCGAAGCGAGGCACGCTGTTCAGACTTAGCACCCATGGCTTGGACTTAGAATGTGGATTCGAATCTATGATGCAGGAACCCGAGTGGCAGCGTGGCCTCATGGTGCCACGTTCTGCAGCACAGCCCTGTAATTTCTGCAGTTGTACTGGGCAGTACAGCACTGTAGCTTATGCTCTGTTACACGTTCCAGCACTGCGTGTAAGAGTTACACAGATAAAGTGAAGTCGTCCTGTCACGTAGGAGTTTCCTTTGACCATCTCTTTGTTCTGAGTATTGTGATGTACAGACTCTATACAATTCCACATTTTTGACCAATTCGTTTAACAAACTGCATTATGGCTTAAGTGGGTCATAATGGGGGTGTGGGTAACTGTTTTAATTGATTCTTTTACATACAAATAGAGCAATCTCAGGCAGTGCTGGCACTGTTGCTTTACTCATTGAACATAATTTAAAAGCCAAGAAGAAAGTGCAAGTTGATTAATCATCATAGTTTTGCTCATTATTTCCTCTTTCCAGTATTCTGTCTTTCTTCATTTTCCTTGTGTTTTGAGCTTCCCTTAGTCATTCTGTTACAGTAAATCATCTGGCAAAACTTTTGTTTGTTTGTTTTTACTTTTCCTTCATTTGAAAATGTCTGGATTCCCCCTTCATTTCTGAGGATATTTCCTAGGTATAGGATTGTGGCTTGACAGCTATTTTCTTTAAAAGTATTGTACAGCCAGACATGGTGGTGCACTCCTGTAATCCCAGCGCTCTGGAGGCTGAGACAGGAGGATCACTTTGTGTTCAGTAGTGAGCTCAAGGCCAGGCTGAACTACATAGGAAGACCTCATCTCAAAATAAAAATAAAACAAAATTACTGTGCAGTTTTCTTCTGGTCTCTGCGTTATCTGATGAGAACTTTGTGGTCATTCAAATGATTTTTCTTTGGCTGCTTTTAAGGTTTTTTTCCTATCTGGTTTTCAGATATTTGATGTCAGTGTGTTTGGGATGGATTGCAGGTGCATCCTGCTTGGATTTGTTCTGCTTCTTGGATCTATAAGTCTATGTCTTTGCCAATCTTGAGGTGCTCTCAGCTGGGCATTTTGTAGCAGTGGGCTCCTGCCTCCCTCTGGGCTTTGCCAACACTGGTGTCAGCCTTTGCCCCACACGTGGGCCCACAGCCACAAGCATCTTCAGTGTGTTCTCCACTGCCAGGTCTTCCTGTCAGATCCCTCTGTCCCCTGTATCCTGCCAAGCCCATTCTTTAGGCTTTTTTGTTTTGATCATTACATTTTTCAAATCAAAATTTTCCATTTTGTTCTTTGTAGCTTCTATTTCTTTCTCTAAACTATTTCTTTGCTGAGTTTCTTTTTATTTGCTTTAAGCATGTTTGCCATTACTCTTGAAGCACTGTGATCATGGCTGCCTTACATCTCAGCCAAGTAATTGGATACCTGTACTTTGACGTTGGCACACACTGGTGGTCCTCCTACTTCTCCATGTGAAGACCAAAAATCAGCAGCAACATGGGCATTTCTCCTCACTTCTCTGTCTGGTCTTCTCCAGCTCCACCTGGGGATTGAGGGCTCCGCATCGCTGCCAGGAAGGCTGGCTCCATGCAGTTCTGGGTGGTGCCCACCATCCCGTGTCCACTGGGCCAGCCTGATGCCACCCAGGCCAGGAGGAGGAGTGCCACACAGGTGCTGGAGGCTGGGGCTGAAGGTCCTTTGTCGGCAGCTGGGGGGCTACCTGGCCCCGTGTCCTCCTGGTCTCTGGGGAAACTGCCCTCTGGCCAGGTCACCGCCCCTCCCACAGGCACAGGGCATAGCATGTGCAGACAGAGCATGTCCACACACATGTGCAGCCAGGGCGCAGCATGCTCCTGGAACTCAGACTGCATCAGGACAGGAGTTCAAAGACATCCGGGAAGAGCCCATATCCGCTCAAGAGCATTTCTGTCCTTCGCAAACTCGATGGCTGCAGACACAAGCCCATTCAGATTCCTGCTTCTGGGGTCCCGGGCTCAGGGCTTGAACAGGGTGACGACAGCCTCCAGCACCTCTGAGCCTAGATAACCCTCCGTGCTTAAGCTCAGAAATGGATGCTGTTGAGAAAGAGTCCCAGCTAAAATGGCCTGAATTTCAGGGTGCTTGTTTTACAGGCAAACTCTGAAGTACCCCAAAGAAAAAAGGCCAAGTAATGGCTACAGAAGTCTTCCTCATTCTTCCCAAAGAAACCCCGTGGCTACGTGGGTCTCCGAGGGGAAAGCCTGGCTATGACAGTGAATGAACTCGTAGATGTGATTCCACATGCAATGTCCCGGGTATAAGCACCTGGGTTCCAGTCAGAGTTGAGCCCAGTGAGCCCGTCCCCACCTGGTCTCTGTACCCCACTCCCTGCAGAGGGAACACTGCAGACCTGTGCCACTGCATGAAACCTCTGGGTCCTGGAGCTGGCTGCACACTGGGAGCTCAGGCTGCAGGCAGAGGGACAGGGCAGTGTTCGGGGTGTGCTGCCCATGTGCTGCCCACACACGCCTCCCACGGACACTCCTTACAGCCCTGGGAGCAGGAGGGCACAGGCCTCATGGAAATGCACCTGAAGATGCCAGGATAGAGCGCACCCATGCCAGGCAGCTGCCACCTCGTGGCTGGGCTCCTCCAGAAACACAGAAGCCCACGGGGCCCTATCCCACCCCAGCAGGGAGCAAGAAGCCATCATCCTCATGCACAGGCTGGTCTTTCCCCACTGTGACACCACTCCACCTGCCATCCCTGGGGCAAACATCCGAGATCAAGGGCTGCACGGCCCTCTGCAGAAGCTCAAGGGCGAGCGGCAGGTCTGGCCTGGCCTGTTGCCCACTTCTGACCCGTGTTTGTATTTCACCTCCTGATGGAGGCAAGTGGCAGAGTCACCAGCTGAGGACACCCCAAGGGCATGCCGGGCTGCCCAGCACCAGGACGTCGGTGGAGGGCCTGATAGCAGGGACTGTGGAGCAGCAGGGCCGTGGCCCCTCCTATGTTTGGAGACGATGGCAGAGCTGATAGCCCCTCAGGTGCCTGTGACCGCCTCCTAGGAGACTATAAGACCGAGGGAGGGCGCACCTCTCTGCCGGCCAGGAGCAGGAGGGGACCTTCCAACGGGGACATGGCGGCTCTGCAGGAGAAGAAGTCCTGCAGTCAGAGGATGGAGGAGTTCCAGCACTACTGCTGGAACCCGGACACCGGGCAGATGCTGGGCCGAACTCCGGCCCGCTGGGGTAGGTGCGGGAGAGCAGCCCTTCCCAGGTGGGGCAGGACAGGAGTGGAGGGCAGGACGGGCCTTGCAGGACATTGTGTGGGGACAGCTTAGGCAGCCCGATCCCCAGCTGAGCCTGCAGGCGGGAGCACCCGTGTGGCCCTGGATTTCCACAGTGTGCTTGAGAACAGCATTTTAAAATCCAGGATTCTCAGACTAAGTCTAAAGAATTTTAAAAGCCGTGACGGTGGCTCCCTGGTTAGATAATGCAAGGCACACGGAGCTGGTCATGGAGGAACAAGTCTCTGGGACCCAGCATGCAGGCCACACTGTGGTGCCCCTCACCATGCAGGCTGCACCTCGGCACCCACTCCCTCTCGGTGCAGGACACTGCCTGGCAGGGCTGCTGGCTACCCAGTCCCCTCCCTCCCGACTGCTGGCAGCTGCCTGGGCCCCTTTCAGCAGAAATGTCCTCGCTGACAAGAGGCGGCCCTGCAGGGCAAGCCCTCCACAAACAAATTGCACAATAAGCCCAGAACAAGTGAATCCCCCACAGTCCCCTCGGGCCCTGGCCAGGAGCGCCTCATAGGTCCCAGGGCCTCTGCGGGGCTGCCTGTCTGGGGAGACAGGGGATGGTGTGTCCCACCACAGATGGTCCTGGCCCACCCTCTTCCCTGGCTCCCGGCAGCCCATGGGGTGCCGACTCGGGCCCAAGCTCCCTGACTGCCCTGCTGAGGGGATAAGGAGGACCAGTGTGGATCTGCAGGGATGCAGCGGCCTGAGGGGGCTCTCCTCGGTGACCCAGCCCCCAGCTCGGCCACAAAGGTGCCCATGATGCTGATGGTGTGTGAGTTGTCTGACCTAAAGGGACACAGTGCAGCCTCTCCGAGGCCTGTGTTCTCTTGTGTTCTCGAATACCCTGCCTCTCTGTGGTGACCTACACAGAGCACAGCAAGCCCTAGGGCAGAAAACAAACATGGCCAATGGAGCCCGGGCAGGGCTCAGGCCATAGGGCTGGGAGGAGAGCAGAGGGGGCCTGGGCAGAAGTTGCGGTGCAGATGCCACTGTCCCCTCAGATCCATCAGGTGGGTGGCTGCTGAGGCTCCTGGGAGTGGCCCTGCTGGCCACTAGGCCCCTCAGAACTTTCTGGGAAGGCCCCAGGCCCAAAATGTGGATGTAGGCTTGGGGCCTGGGGCTGAGTCTCACGGCCAAGGAAACCGGCCCAGTGAGCTGACACAAGCAAAGGGGCAGGGTAAGTTATCCTGGGGGCCAGTGCTCAGGGACCACAGGGAGACCTATCCTCTCCCAGTCTGGCTCATGAACCCCTGCTCTGCACAGACTCTCTGTGCCGCTTCTTACCGCCAGCCAGGGGCTGAGTGACCCGCAGTGGCAGCGAGGCTGCCAGACCCAGGCCGACTCCATGTGCCCACCCTGCCACCCTCCATGCATCTCCACTCAGCAGGGGAGGCTGCACCCTCTGAACCTTGGTTTCCCCATCAGAGAAGTGGGGTGAGGAGCCAAGGCACTGTGGCAGCGCACGCAGAGCACCAGGCCCAGCCGGCAGCTAAGGGGACCTTGCCTCATCAGCGCCAGGGGCCTCGCCCAGCTGGTGATGGGCGCACGGACACCGCGTGGTGGGCCCACGCCACCCACAGACGCCTGGCGGGGAGCCAGGCCCTCACCTGCTGAGACAGCTGGCCTTGGACCTGGGGGAAGGCACAGAGACCCTCTTCCTGGCTCCCCAGGGATCCTGGCCACAGAGTGGCGCCAGCAGGGATGCAGTGGCAGCCCCAAGGTCATCAGCTCCAGCCTGTGACCCCCACCTCCTGCCCTGCATGATGGGGCACCGGACGATGACTCACTAAAGGGACCTCCACCGAGTCACAGGGCACACAGCAAGGTGCTGTCCTGGAGGGTGCACCTCACACACCTGCCCACATGCACAAGTCCAGAGCTGGCCCTCAGCACCCCAAAATATCTGCTTTGATCAAGTTGTTTGGAAACAGAAAGACAGGGTCCCCAGGCTGTCTGTGTCCAGGGCTGCATCAGAGGGAAGAGCGGGGTTTGTGCTTGGTTCTGACTCTGGAGGAACAAACAGGACAGAGCCGCACACACCTGGGTGCAGCCACTGCCCTCCCATGTCGGCTTCCAGGCCTGGGGCTGCTGGACCCATCCATCCCTGTGCCCTCACTGCCCGTGTCCCTGTCCCTGCAGGACTGAGGAGCGCTGTGCCGTCGGCACCAAGTATGGGGGTCACCATGGGCAGTACTTCCCCTCTCCCTCAGTCCCTTCCTGTGGCATGGGGGAACAGTTGCTCTCATCTCGGGTTGCAGAGCACGAGCCGATGGTTGGTGGGTGTTGGTTGGGGTGACAATGACCGGTCCAGCCAAGTGCCTCGCAGTCAGGTAAAATGGCTTGGCTGAGGGCGCCACACCCAGGGCCGCTCCCTTGCTGTGGCTTTATTTGCAAAGCAGCTTTGTTACAGGGTGGTTTCTTTAGAAATGGCCCACCAGTCAAAAGTATTCCAGCTCCTTCTTGCCTCTAGCAAAGAACTGGATGAGACAAGCCAATAACGGTGCCAAAAGTCTATTTGAGAAGTGTGGGGTGAATGAGTATAGGAGAAACTCGGGAGCTCCAAGAAACCCTACATACAGGGCTGCCCTGGGATCTTAGGACTGACTGACAGGTCCCGCTCATCTCCCCACCGGCTTGGCCCCACCCTGTCTCCTAAATCAGGTAGGGACAGGAAGATCACCTGCAGGGTCAGGAGGGACAGGGACAGCATCGGGGGAGGGGACAGCAAGGGGCAACACAGGCGCATCTCACCCAGATGAGGGAGTTCCAGATGCCGGCTCGGCAGGTTGCGTGGTAAGACTGCACAGGCGAGTGACAGCGGAGGACGGAGGATCTGAGGGGAGCTGGGGGTTGTGCCCAGGGGGTCTGCTGAGTGGAGGGTCTGTGGGGAGCAGAGGAGTCTGGTGAGCAGCCTCGTGAGTGGAGAGGCCTGTGGGGCATAGAGTGCATGGACTAAGGAGAGGTCTGTGGGGAGTGGAGTGGAGAGGTCGATTTGAGTTGAGGCCTGCGCTGTGAATGCTGCCCCGACCGACACGTGGCCTTCTGACTATGTCTCTCCCCGCAGTGTGGATCAGCCTCTACTACGTGGCCTTCTACGTGGTGATGACCGGGCTCTTCGCACTGTGCATCTACGTGCTGATGCAGACCATCGACCCATACACTCCTGACTACCAGGACCAGCTGAAGTCGCCAGGTAGGCGCCGGGAGGCCTGAATCCCAGCCATGTTCCCGGCTGGGCACACATCTGCCACCGGCCCAGGCAGGGAGGCCTCACAGCCTCATCTGATGAGGAAGACACCCTGGCTCGTGGTCTGACTTCAGGTGCAGATAACTAGAAGAGGAGGCCTTTGTGGCAGGGACAAGATGCCTTGGATCTGCTCATTCATATGTGTAGCTGTAAACACAGGACACTTCGTGCAGGCAGGAGGCAGGGCTGGGGTGGGACAGCCGGCGGCCACCCTGAGCTGCTGGGGACAAGGAGAGGAGAGACAGGGTCCTGCTGCCCGGTGGCCAGGAAACCAGGGTCAAAGCCTTTCCCCAGCTTTGTTTGTATGTTTTTGTTTTGTTTTGTTTTGTTTTGTTTCTGCATTGCTGGAGATTGAACCCAGGGCTCTCACCCTGTGGTACATCCTCAGCCCTTTTAAAAAATTTTTAGTTTGAGACAAAGTCTTGTGAAGTCACCACTGTGCTGCCCAGGCTGGGCTCAAGTTTCCGATTCTCCTGCCTTGGGCCTACAGGGTGCTGGGTGCATGGGCGTGTGCCACCAGGGCCACACTGACTACGGCTGTTACTTTCCCAACATCCACCTTACAAAGCAGCCTCCTGCAGGGGACAGGCTGAACCCGGAGCAGATCTTCCACTCGGAGGTCTATGAAGTGTCTGTGGACTGAGAGAGCTGGAGGGGAGGCAAGTGCGGCGGGTGGTGCTCCCCGCAGCACAGCAGGGGGACCACACCACCCGAGGCCATACTCCCTGCTCTCCTGCTCACTGGGTATTATTTTTACAACAAACATGGACTCCTTTTGTACATAAGCAAAGCTAGGGGAGATGTTTTAATGTATGTTCAGATGGTTTCACTCAGAGGCCCAGCTGCAGACTCAAGCTGTCACCTTTGACAGTCACAGGACACCAGACACCCTGCTCCAGGCTCAACCAGGCTTGAGATCTGTCCCTGTAGAGCATATGCCTCTTGCGGACAGGCCCGGGCCTCACACCCACTATGCTTCATCCTGGCTGCTGGCCAGGGGCCCTGGGGCCACATGTCCACCACGCTTCCTCGGCCAGGGGCAGCCTGGCCTGGCATCCTCCATGAAGGGGGCCCAAGGACCGGGCCTCACCTCAGCCAGGGCCCCAGGGATTCTGCCTGAGATTCCCCACATGGCTGGGTGGGCACACATGAGGCTGCAGAAAGCAGTCAGATGGCGCCGTCTCCCCAGGGGTGACCCTGCGGCCTGACGTGTATGGGGACAGAGGCCTGGACATTTCCTACAACGTCTCCGACAACAGCTCCTGGGTGGGCCTGGTGCACACACTCCACAGCTTCCTGGCAGGTAGGCTGAGCTGGCTGTAGCTTGGGGCTCAGGTCTCCCGGAAAGTGTGCTGGGTGGGGTAGGGTGGAGAGCAGCACTGTGTGTCCCCACAGGCTACACCCCTGCGTCCCAGAGGGGCAGCATCAACTGCTCCTCCGAGAAGTACTTCTTCCAGGAGAGCTTCGGGGCCCCAAACCATACCAAGTTCTCCTGCAAGTTCACGGTGGACATGCTGCAAAACTGTTCGGGCCTGGCAGACCCCAACTTTGGCTTTGAGGAGGGGAAGCCATGCTTTATCATCAAAATGAACAGGGTGAGTGTGAGGTCTCCCCGGAATCTGCCCCGTGTCTCTCTGCACACTAGCTCGGCATGTGCCCATCACACGTGGGTCCCAAGCAGATGAGTGCCCGCTGGCCCCCATGGGGGACTAGGGGCTGGCAGTGCCAGGGAGCCTCCCACAGTGGTGTTTCTGCCTAGGTCAGAGAGGCCTGATGGCCAATGTCCCAGCCCTGGAGGGCACTGTGGGGGTCCCCAGGGCTTTAGTGGTGCCCAAGGCCATGTCAGAAGAATCATGTGTGTCAGCAGAAAGGGCATAGTACTGTCCACCTGGTGGGCACAGGGCAGGGGTGCTGTCCCAGCCAAGGCCCGAGACAGAAGCTGCCCAGGCAGGGGGCCCAGGGTCGCCACTCCAGAGACGGAGGGCAGGGGGCTCCAGAGGCCGCGGTACTCGTGCTCACCCCTCGGAGAGGCCACATGCTCATGCACTGTCCCCACCGTGGCTGGCCAGGGTCCTGCCAGAGGCTGCAGGTGCAGGGCTGTGGGCAGGGCTCCGGCAGGGCCTCAGCAGCTCAGAGCTCAGGACGGGACGCCAGCGCCTTTCCTTCCAGATTGTCCAGTTCCTCCCCAGCAACAGCACGGCGCCTCGCGTGGACTGCGCCTTCCTGGTGAGTAGACTCCGGAGACTGCCACCCCCGGCCAGGGCTTCTGGGCGACCTAGATCTCCAGGCTTTAGGGGCTCGTGGGAACGAACTGACCAGCTCTCAGGGACACCGCGATGTCACGTGTCAGTCGGGCACACGGGGACAGGCACTGTCTGGAGCCCAGTGGGCAGGCCAGGCCGGAAAGGAACATGCTCTGGCATGGTCCTACTTCGGAGGGCACCACCGACTTCAGAACGCTCGGCAGCAGCTTGGGCAAAGCACCCTGTTTGCACCACAGCGCTCTGCCCTGTCTACCACTTACCCACAAACGCCCAGATGACCAGCAGCAGCAGGCGTTTGGCCTGGGTTAGTGACGGGCTGGGAGGGCTGGTGTCCTTGCATAAAGACCGGGATTTTTAGCAAAGAAAAAAACTACTTTTCAAGTAAGACATTTAAAAGCTAAGCTGGTTCTCACTTGTGTTGGACCCCAAGCCCTGGTTCCCACGTGGGTCCGTGGACACATGGCTCCCCTAGGAGCCTCAGTTCCCTCTGGGTTTTGGTGTTTGGTTCTTCCCTTCTCCAGTTATTTTGGCCACACATGTAGGCTGACCGGACACCTTACAGAGGCCAAAGCATCCTACCGTTCTTCGATGAGCTCAAGCTCCCTGTGGGAATTCCAGCTCCGACTGGAATCATGTTTGTGCTGATCCCAGACAGCTGCACTGTCGGTTGGCAGCTGAGCGTGCGGGCGGCTCTGTCTTGCTGCTGTTGGGGGAGGCTCAGCCCTGGCGCGCTTTGCTTGTGGGGCTCCTGGTGGGAAGCACGGTGTAAAGGCCCTGGTTGTGCACAGTGACAGCTCCCACCCAGCTCTGCTCTCAGTGATGGTTCTGAAGGCCGACTGTAGGGTGCCCTGGGCACGGTGACATGTGCCCATGACCCTAGGCAGGACGATTCCAAGTTTGAGGCCAGCCTGGGGAACTGAGACCCTGCCTCAAAACAAAACATAAAAAGGACTGGGGATGCAGCTGAATATCAGGTTTGTCCCCAGAGCCACAGCGGAGGCCCTGCACGAGGCTCACTGCATGTGCACACTCACACACACCAGCCCACGTGTACCTGACCCCAGGCTCAGCTATGGCTTCTCCTGTCCAGGATGAGCCCCACCGGGATGCCAGGACCCTGCAGGTGGAGTACTACCCGCCCAACGGTACCTTCAGTCTACACTACTTCCCCTACTATGGGAAGAAAGCGCAGGTAAGAGGCCTGCTCAGCCCGCCCCACTGCAGCTGCCCACAGCCTCAGGCTGAGCAGAAAGGAAAGCAGACGGGAAGTGACGTGGCCCGCCAGTCCCAGTCACTTAACCACCTGAGTGCTTCCCGAACCGTGGCTCTCATAATGCTCCAGACTTGCTCATCCCACGCGGCAGATAAATGTCATCCCCAGCTCCCTTCCCCTCGAGGGCTCCGCCAACCCTCGTGCACCCCACCCGCACACTCGCCAGCATCGCCCGGACTGCTCCTTTACTCGCGGCCACCAGAGGCCGACGCTGACCCTTGTGCCCCGACCTTGCACACTGGGGTCCGTCTCCTCCAGGGCGAGGGTGGCCACTGCGACTCCCCAAGGCTCTCTGGGCCCTGCAGACCTCACCGAGGCACACGTGGAAGAAGCCCTCTCCTGACCGCCACCCACCTCGGGAGTTCGGCTGATTTGACGCCAGGGTTCTCATGTCTCCCTCAGCCCCACTACAGCAATCCCCTGGTGGCAGCGAAGCTCCTCAATGTGCCTCAGAACGAGGAGGTCGTCATCGTGTGCAAGATCCTTGCCGACCACGTCACCTTCGACAACCCCCATGACCCCTACGAGGGGAAGGTGGAGTTCAAGCTCAGGATTCAGAAGTAGAGGCTGGGCCGGGGCTCCAGCCTGCAGAGTGCAGCCTCTCCCTCCTGCAGCGGCCCCTGCCCACCAGGGCCTACCTGTCACCTTGCACGCATGGCAGCTTGAGGAAGCACTCGGGTCTGGCTCTCGCCACTGTATAAGCTGTTCCTATCAAGTCCTCCTTGTGCTTGGTTTCTTCTGAGACAGGGTCTCACTAAGCTGTCCAGGCTGGCCTTGAACTTGCAATCCTCACGCCGTAGCCTCCCGAGTGGCTGGGGTTCAGGCTTGCCCTACAGTGCTTTTGCTGTGCTCCGGATGGAACCCCAGCCAGGACAAGATGCGGGGCTGCTGCGCTCACCCGAGGCAGCCCCTGCCCAGTGAACCAGGCCCTCCGATCACTCGTCTCCCAGACTTTGCCTCTCCACTGTGACCTATTTTCTCTAGACTGTAGTAATATGAACCACCGTTCACAGCAACATAAAACAAAACTGTAGAAGCACAGATAGCAAACATGACCTCCAACAATGCACATTCTGAATTCTCCCTTCTAAAGATGTAAAAACAAAGCATTAAAGTTACTCTTATTCTATGTAAAACAGTCATGTCTTTCCCAGCCTGGGAGAACCATGAACTAAAAACCAAACACTGCCTTCTTTTAAGCCCTCCTCTGCACAGCTGGGGTGGCAATGCAGGGCGTCGGGGCCGTCCGAAGAGCTCCGAGGTTTTGGGGACAGGCGGGTGGGGGCAGGCTGCCACCCACGGACAGGACTTGGACCAGTTAATCACAGCACTGGTCAGGTCCCCTTCCCTGGGGCCAGTCCCTCCGCCTGCGCCCCGAAAACCTGCCCGAGAAAGCAGAGAGCAGGCCGGGCCATCAGGCAAACGGCAGGGCAGCAGCGAGTGCGTTAGCTGAGCGGCTGGGAGATAGCACAGCGCATCTTTGCTTGCGGACTCACTGGGGACCGAACCCAGGGCCCCACATGGAGCCACATCCGGGCTCCTTGGTTGGGCCTTGACCTGCCACCGCAGTCAGCACAAGAGGAGCGAGTCAGCCGGGGCTCTCGGAGAGGACGGCCGAGCAGTGACAGGGCCCGAGGCCCACACAAAGCCCTCGGGCTGCTCACTGTTCACCACCCTTCTGTTCCTCAGCCTCGGTCATTTCTATCACCAGCCGTCAGCTGGCTCCAGGAAACTTCTGGCTTCCTTCAGGGCACTCTGCAGCCCAGCTTTTCCGGCTTCCTCCAGGCTTTCTGTTGCTGTTGACGTCCGGTTTTGCCCATCATCGCTGTGCCTCTGCGCACCTGCTCTCTGAACAGCAGCGGGACATCTGCTTGGTCTCTGCTAGGATGCCGCTGCCGCACCTTTCAGAAGTGTCTGCCGAGTTGCTTTTCCTTCCATCAGGCCGCACTCTCCTGTTCTGCTGTGTGCCTAGTGACTTTCTTCGGAAAGCAGGGCATTTGAATCTGCTGCCATGGTGATGTGCAGCAGGTTTCCTGTCTCTCCTTGGGTCTCCGGGGCTTTCTCTTCACTGCTGTTTCAGGATGCACTGAGCCATCCCTTGCCGGGCCCAGCCTGAGGGGAAACTGCAGGTCTCTCTGGTCCCTGCCCTAGGTGTGCAGTTGGCTCCAAAATTCCTGAACAGAGCTGCTCTCATGGTCTTGCCTGCAGTGTCTCCCCCGGGGGAGAGGAAAGTGAGGGACTGTTGGGGAAGAAGGGGCCGCACCTGCAATCCCAGAAGCCGCCTCAGCCTAGGGAGGACCTGCTGCGAAGGGAGCGGCAGTGACCCGGTGTTCAGGCTGCAGCTCTTCTGGGAACACCAGCTGTGCCCAGCCCCAAGGGAGCCTCGACGCTAGACAGGAGGGGCGCAGGCCCAGAACCCCCCTGAGAGAGAGGAGGACCCAGGCCCAGGCCCCTGCAGGCCCGGGATGCTAATCCAGGCAGAGGAGGGTGAACCCGGCAACCCCGTACTAGTGCTGCAGCCGGCTGCACCACAGCACAAAAGTGGTCTGAGAAGCGAGAATAATTTTGAGACAATAATCCTGAATTAAAGAAACATGAAGCTTGTTTAAAATGCCCATGCGCCTTTTATTAATAAAAACTAACAGTGCCAAGTAAAGTCAAACAGTTAAAGTCTCTTTATATTCCATAAAATATTACAGAAAAGTTTATTTGTGTTTCAATAAAAAGACTATTGTTTCAGAACAGGCAGCTAACAGCAACTGTGCAGTTAACGTTTTTTTGTGAATAAATTTTAAAAGAGACTACTGCCTGTCCTTAAATTCCTTTCTTTTTATAAAAAAAGAACTATTAAAAATGATTGACAAATTTTGAGTTAAAAAACTGTTAAAACATTCTCTATGTTTAATTTCAACTTTATAATAGATTACATGAAGATGCTTAGGAAACAAATACAACATTTGTTTCGGTACATGTCTTTAAATGATAGACTTATAAGTATGTAAACAACTATATAATAAAAAGTTTCCAAACGCGGCCTGTAAGAAATCAGGCAAATTTTATCATAAGCAATAACCCTTCCACACATTCCACAGCTGCTTCCGGCAGTAACCTTCTACCAAACAAAAACAAACAAGCATGTCGCAATTAGTTGGTGCAACAGAAAGGGTGCAGGTTTGGTGGGCTTGCAACATCAACATAATTTAAGGAAAAGCAAAATCATAATAAAATTTATGGCGCTCAATATTTTAAAAGCAGAGCTTGTCATCTGCTCGGCTCTTCCGGTCCGGTGAGATTTAAGAGGGAAGACTCACGCTGGAGTCCCGCTGTCCGCCAGCGGGTGGCGCCACTAAGCACACCGCAAACAGGGCGTGCAGGCTGGGCCCCCGCAGGCAGCACGGCGTTTTGTTATTGCCACTGGCATGAAGTACAATGTGTTCAGAAACCCAGCAAGCACGGCTGAGGGACAGAAATGAACTCTGAACTAAAGCAAAAAGGAGAAAACGAAAGGTCAATAGCGGCTGCGCACCAGCACACGGCCCCGGACACGCGTCTCCACAGCCTGCGGAACAGTCCTTGCTTGCCGGAGGTGCGCGTCTGAGCGCTCAGCTCACGCGGCCTTCCCGGGAAGGCCAAGAAGAAAGAAGAGCCCGTGTTGGAAGTTTCTCTTTTCTCACGACGATTCCTCAAGCTGAACGGGCGGCGCCGGCCTCAGTCGTCCTCGTCGTTCTCGTTGAAGTCGTCCTCGTCCTGGTCGTCCTCCCCCGCGCACGACACGGGCGTCTCCACGCGAGAGCCGCTGTACTGAGACCCGCTGGAGCTGGTGGCCAGCGCACCCTCCGCTCCGTTGCTCAGGTCACTGCGGGGTGGGGACGGCCGGCCGGTGAGCAGGGCGTGGCCTCAGGCGGCGCCACCCCCCACCCACCAGGACGGACGACTGGAGGAGCCAGCGCGGCCACCCGGCCCAAGCCACCCTTGCACCGCGGAGCTAGACGCCACGCTGGCACGGGGCCCGGAGCACGCACGGGAAGGGGTGAGCCCTCCTGCCACTCCTCCTCCAGCCCACGGCGGGCCAGGGAAGGGGGCAAGGCCTGCTGACGGCTACATGGGGCCAGCCTGGCAGTGGGCGCTCGCCCGGGACCCACAAGACCCTGGGGTCAGTCTCCACAACGGGCAGCACCCCGAAGCCCCTCACCGCGCACCCCACGGCCCTGTCCCTGTCGCCAACGCCCCCAGCGCTCACCGCTCCTCAGCAGCCCCTGCCCCACCCCAGGCCGCGCTTCCCGGAGCAGCCTGCACCTGGAGACCCACCCTGTAGGACAGGGCAGAGGGGAGCCGTGCACCACAACGCAGAGCCTTTGATTTTCCCAGCACCTAACCTGAAGGTGCTTTCAGGAAACACCCGCCCTGCCTCTACCGAACCTGCCTTTCTTAGGAAGCGGCAAGAGCTTTGTTTCCAGCCTAAAAACTGACGGAGGAGCTGGAATGTTTAGTCAATGAAGAGCGCGACCTAAAGGCGGAATTCCTAGAATCACTCAACTACACCTCAGCCGCGCCCTCTGCTAACACTGTGCAGCTTGACGCCCACAGTCACATGCACCCTGGCACCCAAGGTGCGCAGGAAAGACCCCGCGGCACAGGACGCCAGGACGCCCCACCTGCGGCCCCTGCCCCCAGCCTGGGCCAGGCCAGGTCTCACCAGACCGCCCTCGCTGCACAGGCCAATGGTGACTGATTCACCCCACTCCAAGAAAGGCCGCACACACATTACCACTCTCAGGGTAAAACACTGCCTTGGGAGACAGGCCAGCACAGCCCAGGAAGCAACAAACCGCTGCCGTTTGGACAGTGAGTCCTGCATCTTAAAGCACTAAATGCCAGGGACGTCACTGTGCCCTGTGGGCACCAGGTGAGGTTAAATACACTCATCTAAAAAGGAAGGTCCTTGCACAGCACATGCAAAATACGTACAATAAAGTATGAGGTGAAAAAAGAGCAGAGAACAAAATTTTGCATACACTATGGCCTCAAATGTGTTAAGAAAATAAAAAACTGAAGATCGGTTGGTCCTCAGCTCCTGGGGTTAAGGTGGATTCCCCGCTTTCTCTTCTATTTTTGGTACTGAGGATCCAACTCAGGACCTGCCACTTGCCAGGAAGGCGCGGTGCCCCTGAGCTGTGTCCCCAGCCCGCACCCCTTCTCGTGCTACTTAAAAAGAAAAGAAAAAGAGGAATGCATGCTAATTTTTAGGAGGACGAAGCCAACTGAGGAAATATGCCTCTTCCCTCCAGGAGAAGGGCGCACCCGCCTGGCACCCCGACCCCAGCCCCCAGTCACCTGGCCGACAGCCTCGTGCCGTTGGACGCAGCGCCTGCCGCTGTGAGGAACACGCTGCCGATGGACCCCTGGGCCATTTCTGAAAGGGAAAGAAAAGGCGCACGCGTAGCATCCCTGGGGACCCAGCCAGGGGCCTCCCAACGCCCGGTGCCAGCCTCCACAGGCGCCCACCTCTCAGCACGGGCCCAGCACAGAGGGCACCGCCCAGGCCTATCCGTGTCGTGGCCTCT